GTTCTTCTTATTCTACAGCTGAGCTGCTAAAATGACAGATTTTCTTTTCTGGATCTCTGACAGACGGACTTCAATCTCTGTAAAGAGATTCTTTAAAAGTTTACAGACTTAAAAAGTTCTTTAAAAGTTTAAAAAGAAGATAAAGTTCTTCTTTTTAGTTTTCGCTGTCATTTTCATGAATGGACACTTCCTTGTATCTGAGGCAGGAAACATAGCCTTATATGGTGTTTTTGGGGTGGTAATTATGCTAATCTCCTCTTACGTGCACGAGCAGCTGGATAGAACAGGTGGAATTTACGCAGCTCATTTACACACTTTTCTTGAAGATAGAAGAGTTTGTTGAATCTGACGTGACATGTTCGTACGAACSCTTTGTACGAACAAAAGTAAGAGAAATTTAGGAAAAGTATACGAACATGTTCTTGCATGAGGCCCATTATTCCCATAACGTTGTTGAGGGATCCTAAAATGTAGATCCTCTGAAAAGGGGAGCAGCCAAACAAAAAAATATATATATGCACTCAAAAAAAAACAGATGTTGTGGATTTATTTCAAAAATAAAATAAAATATGTCAGCTGGTTTCAATCAACTGAACTGAGTAAAGATGACARATTTAAATAACTTTTACGTTAAGTGAAAGAAAAGTAAAGTACTCWTTTCAGTTATGTGGAACCAGTTCGCATTTTTTAAGTGAATTCACTACATCAGATCTTTGAGCGAACTATTTTGAAAAAAAAAATGCATGTTTTAATTAGCAAATCATTCCATTCTGAGATCATTTCCTTTTTACAAAACATTTCAACTTTTTATTTATTTTTTTTTTTGGAATCAGAGTTGCACGAACTTCTCTTCTCTTCTCTTATGTTTTTCAATGATAAAGTTAATAAACAAAGAGCTGCAACATAATGCCTGAGGGAGCAGCACCACCAAGGATCCACTTGTGCCGACGTATTAAATCTGTGTGTTTTGTGTCTGCAGGCAGAGCAGATGCATGACGCAGCAAATGATGGAGGGATGAGTGTTAATGCGACACACGCAGCCTGCCACACGGTTGTATTAGCATACCTAATTAGGCATAATTGAAAGCTTTCTGCTTTTCCGTCTCCTAGGGCAAATATCAAACCTCTGTTGTATTTATGCAAAGGTTGTTTGGAAAACAACAGAGTTTAATTGCACACAGAGTTACGGGTAATATAGATATAGTGTAAAAATATTTTGATCATTAACTCAAACTGTTTGATCTACAACGCATCTATAGAATGCAATGTGTTGAAATTCATAGCAKGAAAAGGGATTTTAGGCAGAAAATAATGGTTTATCAAAACGAATTAGTTCCAATTAAGGCAAATTTCAAAATAAAGTAAATTAATTATTTGACAGTTTAAATTCTTCTTGTGAGAAAGACCCGAATGGTCAACAAAACTTTTTTTTCAAGCAGAAAATATAAAAAGTTTTTCTTTTACTATTTTAGAAACTTTCAGTTTAAAGCATGACAGCTGCACAGAAACTAAAACGTAAAGATTCAACACAGTTTGCAGGCTTCCTTAGATTGTTTTATTTGTACAGTGGGGCGATGTTTAGGACTTGGAGCCAAATTAAACTGTTCTGACTTTTGCATCAAAATATGTAAGAGAAAAAATCTACCAGATAGAATATCAAGTTCACTAATAAGACACATTTTGCTATGACTATGTTTATATATTTTTAATGTGAATGAAATAAAAAAACTGTAGCACAACTTATTTTTTTTTACCTTTGTGTAAAACTGTCTGCAGTCATAACTTTTCTGTTTCAACCTAATGTTTAACCATCAAGTGTTAACTTTGGCTCTCATCGTGTCAAGCACAAATACACAGAATTAATAAACAAAATGCATAAAAACACAAATGTGCAAAACAAATATAAGTAAATATTCTAATCACACTCTCATTGTCTGCTTTCGTCAGTAAACAATCAGCAGAATAGAATTTGTTGCGCTGTAACGTCGATATTTTCTACTTTTCTTAAACATTTTCAACATATGAGCTCATGTTTATGTTTAGAATAATCCCACCTCATCACTAGTGTTCAATCACAGACACAGATCCCAGTTCAACAGTCAGACCCCCCCATCAGGAGCGAACAAGGTGGGCATTTTTGATCCTTYTAGCCTGATGCTGCCTTTTCCCAAACACAGCATCTCTTTCTAGTKTGGAAGAGGCAACAGAGAGATTAGTTTCAGGTCTGCTTCCCTCCTGACGCAGACTGTCTCTTCCCTTGCTTTGACCATAAATGTGATTAAAAACGCACCAGAGATAATAACCCCCACTCTCATATCTCGACTGCACCAAAGAGCATGAATTAAAACATAAGCTGTAGCCTTGAGGAAAATCTAAATAGAAAGCAACTCACTGGGAAAAAAATATATATAAATAAATAAAAGAAGAGCAATTCATGTTGAGTGCATACAGCCCCCTACTGGTAAATATTATTCACTCTTCAGCCAAATCCAACACAACAAGCCTCATGATCTTCTGTTGAATATAAGCAACAGGTTTGCTGCCACTTCCACCGTGAAGCTGTTGGATTTTAGCTCCTTTATTGGCACCATTGAAGCGTTTAAAAATGATTTATGATGTCATTATAGGTGCACTAAATTTAACAGCTCAGCAATGCTGTTTAAAACTCTGGAAGAGGGCATCAGTTTAAGGGAAAACATCAACGAGCTGATTTAGTTTAAGTTGGGCTCCCACAATTTGATGGGCACCTAAAACAATGTTATGCACTAATTGGATCATTGTAACAATTTCTCAAACTCATTTTTTTAGTGTCAGGTTGTGAGAAGATCAATAAAATTCAGGGCTGCGTGATTTCTCACTGAGCAAAAAGGAAACTAAAGAGGTGGATGTGAACTTTAAATAGCAGGAATCCTCCAGCTGCAGCTCCACAARACATCCCTGCTGCACGGGTTGAATTGGGAATATTTTGCAGCAACACTCTTTGAATATGGATCAGATCAATGCTTCACTAAGTAAACCAAGATGTTTTTTTAAGCTCAGATCTGTTCAGATCAAAGAAATCCTCTCAGGGGTTTGATGAGGACTCGGGAGGACCACACAGTTTGACTCCAGGTGGAGCTGGGGGGGGGGGGGGGGGGCATGCAGCACACGTGGCTGCGGAGCCGCGCAAAGACGCATCGGTGATTTGTCAGCGGTCGCCTACCTGATATTTCCTGATGAGGTACATGGAGGAGGCTGAAGCCTTTGGCGCTGTAAGCTTGTCTAACGTCGCTACAGCTCCGCGCTTTGCTCTCAGCAGCTGATGACAGGGACAGCACCGACAGAGTACAGAAGACCTGCAGTCTCCACATCGCATACATCAGTGAAATCCTTCCAACGATGTGGCCGTAAAAATCTAGATTTCTCAGAGAAACGCCGTTGGAATAAAAACAAATCCAGGTGGATGATTGAAAGGATCTCTCGAGTCCAGATGTTGATATGTATATAAAAAAGAAAAATATATATAAAACTCCTCACTTTGGATGCGTCCACCTCATCTTCCTCTTCGAAAAGGTACCATAAGAAAAAAACGAGAGAAACTAGTCCGAGCTGGAAGAAATCCTCCTGAAGAAGCAGCCCGGTTCTTCAGTGTGCCAACAACTTCTCTCTTCTCCGTGGCGCGCGCACACAGCTGCCCTGTCTTTCTGACAGTCGGTGTGTGAGGGGAGCGGAACGCAGCGGAGACGCACGCGCCGCACAGCGAGCAGAGCGCACAAGGGCAGGGCAAAACATGGAGTGGAGTGACTTCAGCAGCAGCGCGCATCCAGGGGCTCGCACTGTCCTCCTCAGCCTTTATGCATCCTCAGTAATGCACGCACGCACACACACGCGCGCGCACACAACATTGCACATTAGTGGCGGGAACACGTGTTGGACTGATGGAGGAGTGGAGAGCAGACACATAATTCTCTCTTAATGTTTGTCCAGAGACACACAAACGCTGCTCACTGCTCTTTGTCTTTGACTGAATCGAACGTGATGTGGTAATTTAATTTGCACACATACCTATATGCCCCCCCCCCCCCCCCCCCC